CCCCCCAATTAAAATAAATGGGAAAATTGTCCAAAAAATGGGAAAATAAAAACCGGGAAAAATCCTAAAAATGGGGGAAAAAAATGGGAAAATTAAAAATGGGAAAAATCCTAAAAATGGGGAAAAAAAATGGGAAAATTAAAAATGGGAAAAATCCTAAAAATGGGGAAAAAAATGGGAAAATAAAAAAATGGGAAAATAAAAAATGGGAAAATAAAAAATGGGAAAATTAAAAATGGGAAAATAAAAAATGGGAAAATTAAAAATGGGAAAATTAAAAATGGGAAAATCCCAAACAATTGGAAAATCCCAAAAATGGGAAAATAAAAAAATGGGAAAATCCCCAAAAATGGGAAAATAAAAAACGGGAAAAATCCTAAAAATGGGAAAATAAAAAACGGGAAAAATCCTAAAAATTTTGAAACCCTAAAAATGGGAAAGTAAAAAAATGGGAAAATAAAAAATGGGAAAATTAAAAATGTGGGAAAATACTAAAAATTTGAAACCCTAAAAATGGGAAAATCCCCAAAATTGGAAAATGAAAAAAGGGAAAATTAAAATAAATGGGAAAATAAAAAATGGGAAACCCAAAAAAATGAGGAAAAACCCGAAAAAATTGGCAAAAAATGGGAAAATCCCCCCAAAATTGGAAACCCCAAATCGGAACCAAAAAATGGGAAAATCCCGGGAATTGGGAGCCCCAAAAAACGGGAAAATCCCCCCAGAAAATGAACTTAAAAATGGGAAAGGGAAAAATGGGAAAATCCCAGAAAACGAAGCCGAAATGGCCCCAAAGGCGGAGCCGGGGTTGGGATCCCCCGGTCCCGATCTGGGATCCCAGATTTGGGAATCAAGTTTTTGGGATCCATTTTTTGGGGGGGGGAATTTTGGGATCCCGTTTCTCACGATCCCATTTCTGGGGCTCAATTTTTTGGGATTTCATTTTTTTTTGGGATTCCATTTTTTTGGGGATTTAATTTTTTTGGGATTTCATTTTTTTGGGATTTCATTTTTTGGGGATTCCATTTTTTTGGGGATTCCATTTTTTGGGATCAACTTTTGGGGATCCATTTTTTTTTTTTTTGATCCATATTTTGGGATCATTTTTTGGGGATTTTGGATTCCATTTTTTGGGATCATTTTTTGGGATTTCATTTTTTGGGGATTCCATTTTTTTGGGGATTCCATTTTTTGGGATCAACTTTTGGGGATCCATTTTTTTTCTTTTGATCCATTTT